TACTTCACAACAGCGCAGCTGTCTGTGCAACAGGATGGAGAAACATAGAGCAGGGATCACTGCAGCCACCCTAAGGTCAAGCGTTCTCCCCCGCTGTGTCACTTCTCCCACTCTCTTCACTCGAGTAGCTTGCTGAAAGTCCGCAAGAGCCTGGATTCCTACAAACATATAACCTTTGAAAATGGCATGAAATTGTCTCCAGAAATGTTACCCAGAATTTTTGCATGCTGCTTAGAAGAGCCCAGACTTAGAAAATAACCACACAGCTCCGGAAATTAATTTCCAGCTTTCCCTCTTCTAAACTTTCCATTTTGTTCCTGACTTGCTGTGAGTCCGATCGAGTTATTTTGGAACACGACTGAGCAGCCAAGTCAGAAACCCTGTTAACAGTGTCAGCAAGACGCAGCTGATTGCCCAGAACAGTTGACATGCAAACCCGCAGAGATTAAAAAAATAAAATCTGACAGAATTAAAGAAAAATAAAATTAAATAGTGACTTACAAAGATACTTTTTCCATCACTTTCAAAAGGCAACTGGTAAATGTGACCAGAACTGTGACCTTTATGAAACAGAGTTCTCTTGTTTAAAATGAAGCACAGTTTTTCCACCAGTGGTAAATATAAGGTCTTTATATGCAAACTTAAGTCTTGACAGCTGAAGCGTCGTGAGTATTGAAAGATGTGTGTGATGGCAGTGGTGAAACTGCCTCTCTGCTGGGGACTTAGGACTTGGTAGGGAGAAATCTCTCAAAGGATTTCCAAGGCTTCCACCTACTGTTGAATTCTTCTCAGCAACACAGAAACAAGGATTGTATTTGTTACTGCTCAGATTTCGCTCTCGTGGACTGTCAGCATCGAAGCCTGGAAAAGCAACATCTGCCTCCGAAGGGATTGTTATGGCTGAAGAAACCCTTCACCCCAGAGCTCCAGCAAAGCTGCGGAGGGAGCTTAGGCAGCAGGAGCTGGGCTGAAGGTGGTCCCGGTGCTGCCTTCCTCAGTACCTCGGGAGGGCTCTTTCCATGCACCCGTGGCAAAGGGGGAAGGTTTCCAAGCTGAGCAACGGGGTCATCCAGGTTCGAAAGCAGGGCCGATGCTCTATCCTGGCATGATAGAGGAGACTGCAGGCACCTCCGCTGAGCAGGCATGGAGACAGGCTGGCCTCCACGCCGAAGGGATGGCAGGGACGCCCTGTTCTGGCCGCACGTCAGGCTTTTCTCCTCTTAATAGTTGGATTATTCCCCAGCTCCAAGCACAAAGCTGCAGTTTTGCTCGCGTTGGTCTTTGAGCAGGACAGGTTTTCCCCAGAAAATCTCTTTTATCATGACCAGCTGCAGGTTTCTACCCGCTGTCACTTCTGCTTTCTAAACAGAAAAACAAAGAATTTAAGAAAAGCCAGAAAGCTGTTGTGGGAACACAGACCCAGCGGAGAGACCCGAACCACAGCCTGGCCTTCCGCCACGCAGGGACGGGGGCTGCTATGGCAAAGCCTCACCGGTCAGTGTGACCCCCGGGAGGGTGCAACGGACGGCTGCACCCTCGGCACTGGAGAGTCCCCACACATCCAGGCCAGGCCTCTGGATGGATCAACCTTCATGCTTTGTTTTCTCTGCAAATAGACTAGAAATGACCTAACATGCTCCTGCTCCGTTGAGCTTCAGCAGCTTTTCTGGCCTTGCCGTGGCAGGAAGAGAAAGCCAGCCGGCAGCTTGGGTTTCTTGGCTGCCGAGCACACGCTGAGCAGTGTAGCCACGGCCAGGCCGTGGTGGGCTACCACCCTGGACCCCATCCAAGCTGTGACATTGCCAAGTGCCTGAGATCTGTAGAAATTTCTGAAAGATGCCCTCTTACCTGATGTCTCCCATGGGCCCATCATAAGCTGCTTTTCTTCTCGGTGAACACTGGCCTTGGCAAGGGGCTTTGTTTTTCCTGAGTGCAAAAACCCCACAGAGGGTCAGGCCTTCACCCTCACGTGGGCGCAAATCCCACCCTCTGTCCCGATGGCTCCTATCCCTGTGGCTGGGTTGGGCAGTGGTAGAAGAGCTGGGAAAAGCAATGACTATTTTTGTTTTGCTTAAACACCACAAACTGCATTTTGTGTTGCCAATTAAGAATCGCTCTGAGCATCCAAGAAGTGCCTTACCTGCAGAATGTTTGTACCTCTGAAGGGATGCTCAGCCCCACTACAGAGGTGTTTTTCTTTTAAATGGAGCGTTATTCATCTCGACCAACACGTCTTTGTTCACGTGTATTTTCTCAAAGATACAAATGACAGATTTAGACTGTGGAAATGCTGCTTAGGAAGGTGAGTTTCCTTGAGCAGCTGGGACTGTGCCTACCCGATTTCTCCCCCGGATCTTAACGTGCCTGTTGCCCACAGCCCTGTAAGCCTGATGGGTAAAGTCACACTCTGCCTTCAGGAATTATTAACAGTTGTTTTTAAGATCAGAAATTTTCTCGGAAGGCATCTGTTGTGGGGAGGGGAATGGTGGTTTTCAATATGGAAAGACACTCTCTCTCCAAAGGTGTGGGGTTTGCCCTTCATCCCTGTGACGGTTTTGCCCCGGATGCGACAGCGCGTGCTTGGCTCTGCTCTGCCTGCGTTGCTGTCATTGCACTTGGGGCCAGAAAGAGGGAACCCTAACTGAAGGCCGTGCAGAAACTGCAGAATACTTTGCACAAAACGCAGAGAGCAGCTTTGACCAAACCAGCGTACTGCTCCTTTCATCTTTTGTTGTTTATTCTTCTGTTTTTCCTAAGCCAGCTCTACTTGCCTCAGTGTGAAACACAGACTCGCACCCTAGGTGCACACTTTTTGGGAATGATGAAACGAGGTTTGGGTGTGGATAGCAGTGTTTGAGTGAGCTGCTGGTCAGAGACGTGAATGCTATTTACTATTTATGTTGAGTGTGTCTTTAAAAAAATGGGAAAGGTCACTAGGAGGCTAATGAGCAAAAGACTTTGCAGAGCAAACTGAGGATAAAGGCTGCATGAGTCTGATCTGGAGGTGGATGGTTCTGGGTGAACACTGTGAGCTAGGATACTTGGCCTTTGTAGTCTTACCCTGCCTTTTTTCCTGCAGGGAAGAGCATCTTCTTTACAGCTGGGACAAAAGCAGATCCATCCTCTGTCCCAGTTACACAGTCCCACTGCAGTTTGTGGCCGTCAGCGTTCCCCAGGCTGGCGGGGGACTCTGTGTCAAGCACAGATGCGCAGAGCTGTCCCTGTGAGGGGACGGGGGAATGTTATAGAGGGATGATAGGTCCTGTGGGATGCTCACACTGATACTGCCAGATAAACTCTGCTCCCCGAGGATCACCCCGTCACTCACAAAGCGATCTGTTGTGAACGTCTCCCCGAAAGCTCTCCGACAGCCGTCGTATCGCGGCGGGCACCGGTTTCTTTTTAGATACTGTGATGGCCAGCAACAGGAGCAAAGCATCCTACCGTGTGAATCGTGACCTGGAGCGGGGGCTGAAGGTGTCTGAGGGTTGGAGAAGGAAGGAAAGAACATGTTACTGGTGGAAATGCATAAGGATGTGTCATATTTTTATTTTTGTAAGTCTGATTCTCTAAGTGCTTGTAAAGTACTTTACTGTTGTAAATGTGGTGATGCGGTAGTTCACAATATCCTTTTATTTTTGTATATTACCCCCTCCACAATAATCCCTTCCTGTTCCACTCATAGAGAGTAATTTAAGACAAAATTTATATATCGTAATAAAATGCTCAAACTGTCACGCTGTATCCAGAATTTCCTTCCTCTTCTTTATCCATTTACTCGGTCCCTAATGTCCCTTTCCCACACAGAGGGAATGTATTTGGTGTCTCCTTCCCTGGCACCTGGGACTCGGCCAGCTCCTCATGGTCAGGAGGCTGTGGTTTCAAACACGTCAAACCTGCTCCGACATGTGTGCCCAGGGAAAGTAAAACAGCTCGGGCACAAGGCACGGAACTCGCT